AGAAAAGCAGAAATTAGGGTCCTCAGTTCATGAGAAGGGCCAGAGGTCATGTTTGCAAAGATAGAAAACATTACTGTAGGTGGAACATTATAGCACTAGGAAGAGGGCCTGACAATGAGGGCCTTCAAGGAACAGCTTGTTATGTGGACTTTGAAGCCACAGGAAAAAGCCTGGGTTTTGCTTTGAGAAATTACAGAAAGCTGAGGAGTAAATATAGGTGTTACTTTTCCAGTATAACATAAGATTTAAAATTCATACTTTTAAATGTTTTTTGAAACACTCAAGCCTCTATTTCAGAAACCAAGAATTTCCCCCACTATGTGTTAGTTTATTGTTGCTGTGAAAAACACGCCAGAGAGATGAGTCCACAGCAGGAAAGACAGGTTTTTCTTCACGGCGTCAGGGGCTTCACTCTCTGATCAGCCGGCTCCGTTGTTTAGGGGCTGAAATGAGGCTGAATATCAAGAGGGTGTGAAGAGAGCTGCTCAGGTCTGGACAACTGAGAAGCAGAAAAAAGGAACATTCCAGCCAGGGACAAGATGTGCTTTCAAAGGCATGGCCCCCTGACAACCTACTTCCTGTAGCTAGACCCCACTTCCCACAGTTCACCATCTTCCTATAGAATATTCACGTTGTCAGTCAATCAGTGCATTAATCTGTTGCCTAGGTTAGACCCCTTGTTACTCAGTAACATTTTAGGATTGGATCGTGTACTTGGGAACCAAGATTTCAATGCATGAGTCTCAGGGTAACACTTCGTATCTGAACCATGACAAGTTAGATGTGGTGGGTCCAATGAGAACGATCCCCATAGGCTCATATATTTGAATCCTTGGTCCCCGGTGGGTGGAACTGTTTGGAAGGATTAGGAGGTGTCCTTGTTGAAGAAGGTGTGTCATCGGAGATGGGAGTTGGAGCTTTCAGAAGCCCATGCCATTCCCAGTCTCTCTGATATTGTGTTGCCCTGCCCGCCGCCCTCTGCCTCATGCTTGTGGATCAGATGGAAGCTCTTGGTTACTACCCTAGCGCCATGCCTGCCTGCCTGCTTCTGTGCTGCTCCCCACCATGATGCTCATGGACTCTAACTCTCCGAAACTGTAAACTCCTTCCATGTGTTGGTCATGGTGTTTCATTACAGCAATAGGAGTCTCTCTTTCATACAGACTATCAAAGTTAAGCCCATTAAAGTATTTAATGAGTTCATTTGACAAAAAAAAAAGCCTTCCATAAATATGGCATCAACAAACCACAAAGTGATGTGGAATCCATGCAGTGATAATGAAGAAGAAACTTTATATTGTGTTTATGGAATCAAAACTACATATATATATATATATATATAGAGAGAGAGAGAGAGAGAGAGAGAGAGACAGAGACAGAGACAGAGAGAGACAGAGTCAATACAAATCAATATATATATATATATATATATATATATATATATATATGCATATATATATTACATATAACTTAATAAGTTCATGGATTAGAAGGTCATTGGCAGTGTCTGACCAGTTAAGTACAAGTTATTGTGCTACTCACAACTCACACAGGACGTGGGTGACAAGCTACA